CTCTCACTTACACTGTTTAACCTCTTAACAAATGTATATTGTATCAATTATGAAAGGTACAATGTATTCATTACGATCAAAACTTTGTATCTGTACTTTTAATCATTTTCATTACGATAGTTTTATTTTTGCTTACTGGAGAACGATCTCTTCAGTAAACGAAAGAAGTCAACAGCTAGTCATCTAGCTGCAAAAGACCTATTGCGCTTTTGTAAGTCGCATACAGTGGGCGCCTTGTGTTTTAACAATAGCACTTAATATGTACATCCCGCACTTGCCTTCCATTGGTTCAAACTAATAAACCTGTGACTGGGATTTGTATTGTCAATATTTGTATTGTCAATATGAATTAAAAAAAAACTAAAATGCCATCCATTAATCGGTCTTTCTCGTCACATGTCAATTATTTTATTTTGAAGACACATCATCACTGCCACATCTAACCGCAGCGCCGGCTGTGGCATCCAGGACTCAAGATACACTCACCATAAGTTGGCAAAAATGGTCGCCCCAGGCCGGCTCTGGGGTTTCAAGTGTTCACAGCTACGTCATTAGAGTTTGGCAGCAGGATGGTCAGCCCAGCAACGTCACAGTGCCATCAGAAAATAATACAGCCACAATAATAAATCTTTCTCACTACACAGAATATAACGTTAGTGTTATTATCTGGAATAATGCTGGATATTATGGACTTCCTAGCCCAACAACTACTGCAAGAACATGCGGAGGTAAGATCGTTTGTGTTTTTTTTAAACTAATAAGATATTTATGCAAAACATAATAATCCAAAGTATTACTTGATTCCAGCCTTTCAAGCAGTTTGAATAATTCATGCTTATTTTTTTTTCAGAACCTGTGGCACCTCCTAATCCAAATGTGAACTCTTTTTTTGATTTATCACAAAGATCTACTTACATGGAAATTAAAACAATGGTGAGTATACCGTGTTGATCGAAACACTATGCACGTACAACACAGTGAAGTGCTACCTTGATAGGTGGTTGCAATGCATTTGATTTGCGGGTTATTTTTGCATGAAAACGGTCATCTGAGAAAGTTATTCAGGTGTACCAGGAGTACTGGCACAAAAAATTATAATACGCGATAATTTTTAATCAAATTGCATGAACTTAATTACTGTATGGTTAAAGAGAATGTCACCAGTTGTGATTGTGCCATAATATTTTATCCGACCCCCAAAATCAAGAGGATATAAATCGATTTAAGTCGTAACATACGTATCCTGTACATACATGTACTTTGCGTTCATTTTGGCGTTTTCCAAATGCCGGACATCATGCACATATCGACACTATTCAAGACAAGTAAACAACGTCCATTAATTTTAGGGGATGAATCAAGAGATCCATAGATGCGACTGGTTTGCAAAATTAACCGTGCGATATGAAGGAGAATTCAACAATGGTACAACAGACGTGCTGCGTGTAAATGAATCGCAGTTGATAACCATCACCAACCTCACAGCAAATAGTACATACACCATCTACCTGACAGCAGTTAACAACTTACTACTGGTAGGACCACCATTGACAGTGACTCACACTACAACTGAAGGGGGTAATTTTTTCAATTAATTATGAATTTTACGAAAATATCATCACGTAAAAAAAAAAAAAAAAAAAAAAAAAAAAAAAAACGGTATTGCTTATTTAACTTTACAAGAAAAATGTTATATTTTCTATTTTAAATATAATTACCATGAGCTTATTAATTGCTATTTTCTGAAAATGAACTGATGGAGATTTTTTTCGCGAAACATAATTATTTTATGTTTCAGTTCCATCAAAAATGGAGACCCCAAAGGTAATATCAATTGGAGATAGCTCCATAGAGATAACATGGCGTGCCCCGTCCTCTCCAGGTGTCGTTATCGTCAGTTACCAGATATCGTACACTCAACAACCCGGCCAGTGGGAAGAAACAGTGACTGGTGCAGATATTACTAGTAAAACAATTGACAATTTGCAGTTCAATTCCACGTACATGATTCGAGTAAGTATATTTCACACAGAATCTCTGCGATTGGTCATGAAGCTTCCAATGTACTTTATGAAAAAATGTTTTTGGTAGCATTGCATTGTACAACGTGAGCCCACTTCTCATGCCTCCATGTACTGGTATTTTTCATCCTGAACATTGTTTTCTTTGTAGATACGTGCCAAAACTGCTGTTGGCTATGGCGAGTATAGTGATCCAATTCAGGCAACAACGAGTATGGAAAAAGGCGTCTCAATTCAGCCAAATAACCAGAATAAACTATATAGTCAGTATTATATATATATATATATGTACATGTATATTGTACATGTAGCTACATTTGTACATGTACCCAATGAGACTTTTTGTGTAGCAATGTTTTACAGAATTTTCAAAATTATTCGTTTATGTTTAAGACTCAAAGTTTACTTTTTCTCTTATATGTTACTAGAGTTTTATTTAAAATGTGAAAGTTTCCTACTAAATTATGCTGTTTTCCTTCGTGCATATAATGCCTTCTTTCTTCTTACCCACTCCTGTCCCTGTCACAGGTATAAATGGTGGAGCTGTAGCAGGAGGTGTGTTGGGGGTTCTGGTCCTGGTGGCGGTAGTTGTGGTTGCTGTTGTCGTATACAAGAGGTAAATTTATATTCATATACATGATTACTTAAGCTAATGTAAATGAAATTATGTATGAATGCATGGGTATTTGCGTATCCAACAAAAGTACATCTTACAGAGAGGTCAAACTTATATAGATACGTTAACTGGTACATGTACGATATATTCACAGTGTATAACAACTACACGTACAAGTAAGAGGTATACAGACAGTTTCATTATTTCACTTCCTTTTTTACAAGAGAATCAGAACCATTTCCAAATCTCATTGTCATATATATATCTTGCAGAAGGAAGCACCGTAACGAGTCAAATGGAGTTGACGCCTTTTCCGAACTTCAAGGAAAAGAAGGTAATATACTTTTAATAAATATGTGTTGTAAGTAAACAAATACTGCTTTCCAAGGGAAACCCAAAATATCTCTGATTTAACTTTTATAGCTTCAGATGAACTCATAGAATTGCCGAGAGAAAATATGTATGAAAACGCCGACGACGAGCATCTCTATGGCAATATTGATCAAAGCACAGAAATTCCTGTAGAGGACATTTTTGAGGTCATGAAATTGAAAACCAGAGATGTTCTTAAGGCTGAATACCAGGTACCGTATGTGTGTGGCTGCGTTAAATGTTTTCAATTGGACTGGTGCATCTTTGATATGCGTCAAGCAATGAGAAAATAAATGAATCTCTCAGGTGCAAAACAGTTTTTCGATTGATGTTATACGTTTAAATTGTGTCGTGTTTCGTAACTGTGATCGAACAATATGAATTAAGAAAAGAAAATGGACTGTCTGCAGTCTAATAGCAGTTCACGGCATGTACAAATGTTAAAGAAAACCATTATAACCTTTTTTCAGAAATTCCCCACCATATTTATTTGTCCTTGTGAAGCCGGCCAAAAGCGAGAGAACAAACTAAAGAACAGGTTCCAGAACATTATGCCATGTAAGCCATCAAATAATTTGTTTTAACTATAGATATCATAACTTAAGGAAATTGTCGTTTACCCCAGTAAAATCCATTTTTCTGGCCAAAATGAACAGCGGTTATCCCTCTAAGCACGTTTGTATTTAGCTAAAACTGGGATTATAATGATATGATTTTATAACGATTTCTAATTTTTCATCAGACGACCATAGCCGAGTTGTACTGGATCTTTTGCAAGGTGATCCAAACTCTGACTACGTCAACGCAAACTATATTGATGTAAGTTTACTATAACACACTGTATGTTAATTATCCTACTATTTCACGCGTGATAATATGCTCAAGCTACTTAAAAATACACAGATGACACGTGACCCAAAACAAAATGCCTTAATCGTTTATGTAATTCAATAATTAATTAAATTTATTATTCCTTAATTGTCTGTAGTCAGGAATGATATACATATATATTGTTTACAACTGTAGCAAAAGCCAGATCTGCACTTTCTAATTTCAGGGATATAAGAGACCACGTGCATTTATCGCTTCTCAAGGTAAACGCGATATTTTAATTGATTAATCACAAACACACACGTGCGCGTACACACATATCCGCACACACACTTTCACTTTATCAATTTTCATAAAACATTCTAAATGACTTCTTTGTTACATAAGAAGCTATTGTACACTTTTTTCTTCCGTTGTAGGTCCGAAACCGAATACCGTGAAGGACTTTTGGAGGATGATATGGCAAGTGAACTCACCACAAATTGTAATGGTGACAAAAACTGTGGAAATGGGCAAGGTAATAACTACAGTATCATCCGACAAAACGCGCGTGTTCCATATAATAAAAATAGGGGGTTAGTTTATTATTCATGCTGTAAGATTACATACTTTTAATACTCATCATTATTTAATGATACATGATAACCTTACTCCATTTCTTTCACTAGAGGTCAATAAAAACGGTCGTCACCGGCCAAATTTCGAACAGCATACTTGTATTTATTCTTTACTTATGCTTTCGTTTGAGTTAATGAGGAAACACAAATAGAGTTTTAAAAAGAAATTAAAGATGAAGTTGAGATTAAGTTGAACGAATTACATTGCGCGATTAAAATTAATACGAGCATTCTCCATGAATTTTATCTTCTCATACAGTATCTGGTGCAAGACCTGTAATCTAATTAAAAATTATCCCGTTTGTTCACTATAGCAAAAATGTGAGCAATACTGGGCAGACGAGGGAGTGAAACAGTTCGGTGAAATAGAAGTGACTACACTGGATGAAATTCAAGAACAGGACTATTTTGTCCGAAATCTGAAGTATTGTAAGGTAAGCAGAATTAGGGACCATTCCCACAGATATTTGGATCGATCTATTACCCTGGGGGTCTCACTTAATTGCCAGCAACGTAACCGACTGAAATGTCTGTCACGCCTAGTAAAGCTGTTAGGGGGTAATTTTCTTTACCTTTAGCTGATTCGGGAGGCGTGACAGACATTTAAGCCTCTTGAGCTGATAGCAATTTAGCGTGAACCCCCAGTGAGTTAGATCGATCCAGATGGATCGATCTAAGTATGGGGACCCAGTCTTACTGAATATTGGCACGATCCATAATAAACCAATTAAAGCGTGCATTTTGACAAGTTCCATTTGAACTATTACAAAAGTAAATCTGTGACTTGTTAGATTTTCACGTAAAACTATCAAAGCTTTTAATGTTTCCTCAAAGGTTGGAGAACCAGCAGTCCGTACTGTGAAACAGTTCCACTTCACCGGTTGGCCTGATCATGGTGTGCCTGTTGACCCAACGGCTTTGGTAAAATTCCGAGAGGAAGTTAAGAAGTATCAAAGTCAGGTTCAAGACCAAGGACCTATCATTGTGCATTGCAGGTAATACATGATTTTGTCGTTTTTTTTCTTAACACATATCAATATCAATCAAAAGGAATCTTCACTATGTATTTAATTAATTTCTTCAACATTCTTCAAAATACTTTTCAATTTCAAGACAATTAAAACAATAATGGGAATCGGGTTATTCATTAACCCTGACTAACTTGTAATAATTGACAAAGCAAAACCTGATGACTGATCGAAATGCGTCTCCGTTACATTTAAGCGCTGGGGTTGGTAGGACCGGAACTTTCATAGCACTGGACTACCTGTTTGAACAAGTGCTTGCTGAAGGAAAGATCGACATATATCGACTCATCCAAGAAATGCGAGCATCGCGACCAAAGATGGTGCAGACAGTGGTATGTGCTTCATATGTTAAATCGTGAAAATTATTGTTTGATGCGTCTTTACTATACAGGGTATAATTGAAATACGGAAGTGTGCTCAGTAAAAAAAATCTTAAAACCCGGAACATGGGGTTCACAATGATTTACTTTAAACAGTTGGACACTTTGTCAGCCACGTGAAATGACCTGGGATAATCCATTTAGTCGGTTCAATGTATGGAATATAGAGGGGTGCATTCATTACTTTAATTTGATTTGGTCGATCTTCACTGCTCATATTTTATTTTATTTAAAAGAAATGTTTGTTACAGGAGCAATATTACTTCATCCATGACGTGATGTTGGAAGAACTACATTGTGGTTTAACCTCTATACCAGTGCAAGACTTGGCCACTCGTCTGCGGAAACTGAGACGAAGAAACAAGTCGGGACTGACCAAAATGGAAGAAGAATTTGTGGTAGGCCGTTATTGTTTATGATTTTTCCAAACCTTGGGTAAAGGTTAGATTTATGTGAGCAACTCTGGACATGCATGGTGCTAGCTGATAGATGGTGTGGGTAGCTCTGAATATTTAATCATATATTATTATTATTATTATTATTGTTGTTGTTGTTGTTGTTGTTGTTGTCGTCGTTGTTGTCGTCGTCGTTGTTGTTGTTGTTGTTATATGCCGGTACATGATTATCTTTCTCTGCCGAGCAGATACTGAACCTTATGTTGCCTGAAATAGAAGAAAGCTCCATCAAGACGGCCTTAGAACCCATCAACATTGATAAGAATAGAGTGAGGAATATTGTTGCAGGTATCGTTTAAACAACCCTCTTCAGTTTTACTTTCATGTTCTACATTTCTTAATTATTACTTTAAGTTTATCGCCCCGTGTCTTTTACTCC